TGACTGGAGTCATCTGTCTATCTGTCTCCATATTTAACAGAACAAATGGACCTCTTATTACTATTCTTGGTTATCTTCCTAAGTGATTTTTAAACCCATTAAGAAATAATTCAACAGAATCCTCTTAGTGTAGTACAGCTGCTAATAACTCTTTTATAATGACTATGATCAAAAGGGAAGGGATTGGTTATATCACCTAGTGCTAATAATGCTTTTTTTTTTTCTATAAAATTACATGCGTATCAAAGACTGAGTGAAGCCCTAGCTGACTTTTTCCCAGAACAGCTGTACTACAGTAGTATTACACTCCGTAGTGTTCTACCTGAAGAGAGATCTTGCTTTTTTTTTGTTTGATTTTATAGCTAGTTAGGTGATATCCTTGAAATTTGGGAAGAGCCAGTATTTAGTCAGATCTGTCAATAAGCTACTATTCATTTCTATGTTCATCAATATTCTATTGATTTAACATAGCTAGACACCACCTCTACTGACTTGAATTTTTGGAACGTCTTCACTGACCTGATGAAATAAGAATATAGCTGTGTATTCAAAGACCTTCAGACCAGACTGGTGCAAACAACTCCACTTTATATTAATCCATTAGCTGTTAGTATAAAGCAATAACTTGAATTGTGTGTACATTGCACATCATCTTCTTCAGAGCTTATAATGACCTAATGCATCTATGTAGTTCTTCTTGAAATAGATGTGGAAATAATGTAAAACTTTCTGGATGTGTTGTGTCTCTGCAATATTTTACTTTCAGTAAGTGGTAAGGGAGCCTTCTTCTAGCTTAGTACTGGACTGTTTGCCCAACTATCTAGTAAGCACAGATTGCTAGTTTAGTCACTTGGGCAATATTTTTCATTCTAGTTTGAATAAAGCAGTATTTTTCTATTTACATGAAGCGGAGGTAGGAAAATGAGGCTGGAAAAAATGGACAGATGGTCTTACATTTTTCTATTTTGTAAATATTAAAGCACCATATGTAGAAAATATGATTTCCTTTTGGACTCAGAGATGTAGCTTGCATGTCTCCACAGAGTTTATAATTGCACTTATGCTAAGAATTTTCAATGGAGTTTGGCCATTTGCCAAAACTGTGTTACACTCTCAAATATCTGTTTTATTGATGAAGGAAAAATAGTCTCTAACTTTACTTTTCACCTCTTATCATGCAGTTCCTTACATTCTACCTGACGTTTGTTACTCAATCTATTGCATTTACATAGTTCAACGTCAGTTGTTACAGTTATTGGAACTAAGCAATGACATTGTCCTTGAAGCAATACTGCTGATATGCTAACATATTTATTTCTGAAGCAACTCTACAAGACTACAAACTCTATAAAAAGATATAATACCAGACAAGTGGTGGCATAGGACCTAAAAAGTAAGTCTGTGATTTGAAATAAATGTCCAGGCTCTAATCTTTTTAAATTCCCCAACCTCTAAATTTATTAATACCTTGGTTTCCAACCAGCAGTTATATGTCCTGAGCTTAAAGTGAAGTTTATCCTGACAGGTAAATAAAGAAGTGAGGCTTTGAGTGGCCTCCTGGATGATTTCTTACTCCTTGATGCTTATTACAACAAAAATAAAACTTTGCCTGAAACTCATTTCCTTTCCTACACTTAAAGTTGTCCTTTCCTTCTGGTACCATGGACATAAAGATCATAGATGAGAATGAGCATGTTAGTGTCTTCCTCTGTCAGTGCTATGCGTGTGTCCTAAAATAGCCTTCACTGTGTTCCTTGCTGTTGCAATGAGAATGGTACTAGATTCAACTTTTTTACAGTCTACTTCAGTTTCCTTCTGACAGTCTTTATGGACTAACAAGTCTGAAGTTAGCAAACAAACTACCAACAGATACTTACTTTTACCTGAAGTAGGATGTGTTCTTGGGGGCTTTTTGTAGTTTTTCTTCTTAGCTATTTTCTTAAGGGGGACAGGATATTAAATATTAATAATAATAATAATAAATAATAATGCAAGTTCAATCATGATGATCTCCTCAGAAACAAATATCCACAAGTCAGGACATCTCATGAAAAATGTTATGTACTGTACGGATGTTTGATTTAATTTTTTTTTTGGTAGGAAATATCCAATTCTTTTCAGTTCAGTTTGGCAGACTTATACTGAAGTATATCTTATATCTTCAGTTTTCTTTGCCATTTCTTTTTATTTTTCCTTTTGATATGACTGTTCAACAAAAAATTCAGATCTAGTCTAATTCTTGCTTATCCAGGCTGGTTACGTGGAAGTACATCAATTAATAGCAAATCTATTTCATGACACTTTTCTCTTAATTGTAATAACTGTCATATTAATATGTATGGAATACTACTTAGAAAAGGATTTTTTTTCTGTGATTATATTTTCTTTAATTTTTTCTATCAACAGAACCAAATAATTGAGGTTTTTTAGCAGTTTTAATGTTCTAACATATTCACAGGTAAAATTTGTCACACTGAAAAGTTTGGAGTGTAATACTCCCCACCTCTAGAGATGTTTTTCCTGTTGGACTTTCGTACCTATTATACAAAAGGAATCTGGTGAGCTTGGGACATTCAGTATACAGTGTAGTTTGTGTTGCAGTTTTCAAAATGGTGATAATTTCACCATACGCAAAATAGACCATAATTATATTTGAAGACTGAAAACCCTAGATTCATGAAACAGTATTTTTTTTTTTTTAAACTTCAGATACACTCAGTGCTCTAATACTGAATGAAAGTTTAGATTATTTTATTCTCTAGAAAATTACTCCTTTTCTTGTTTGACTTTTTCTCTCTTGATTAGAGCTTGAAATTAACATGACTGACAGTCCTTGTTACTGGTTCATGAACATCTACTGTCCAGTTTTGTAAGATAATGGATGTTAAAGAGCTACAGCTACTTAGGATGATGATCATGCTGGAATTGTGATTATTGAAGAGTACATAATTATTTTGCATAAATAAGCCCTTCAGCAATAATACTGGCTGTTGTTGGGTGGGTTATTCATAGGGTCATGGGACCATAAAATAGTTCAAGGTGGAAGGGACTTAAGAAGGTCACTCGTCCAACCTCCTGCTCAAAGCAGGGTCAGTTACAAAGAGAGAGCAGATTTTTCAAGGCTCTATCCAGTGAGCTCTTGGAAGCTGAAAGAACGAAGATTGCATAATCTTTCTGGGCAATCTGCTCCACTGTCTGACTGTCAACATCATGAAAAAGATTTTCCTTATGCCTAGCCTGATTCTCACTTGTTTCAACTTGTCTTTCATCTGCCATGCACCTCTGTGAAGAGCCTGGCTCCACCTTCTTGGTGAATTTCCTATAGGTAGGAGTGGGCAGCTATTAGGTTCCCCTGCAGTTCTCTCTCCTGCAGATTGAACAAGCCTAGCTCCCCCCAGCCTCTCCTCACCAGCTGTCTGACTAATAACAAACTAACTAACAATAACCAACAGGTTATTCCCTCCCAGGTGCAGAACTTGGCATTTATCCTTATTGAATATTGTGGTGTTGATACATTCTTCCCATCTCTCTAGGTCAATGACCTCCTTCACATCATTGATAGAGGTGTTAAATAGGACAGAACCCTGCAGTACCCCACTTGTTACTGGTCTCCAGGTAGTATGACCCATTAGCCACTGCCCTTTAAGCCTAACCGTCCAACTAGTTTTTTACCAGCCTAGCTGTCCACTCACCCAGACTGTAACACCCTAACTTGATGATGTGGGTTGGGTCAAGCACCAACACAGCCACTTGATCACTCATCCCACCTGCAGCTAGACAGGAATGAAGATAATAAGTCTGGGAGTGAGGAAACTCATGGATCCAAGGTAAAGACGGGAAAATCACTGGCAAATTACTGTTGTGCGCAAAACATCATCTAGTTGGGTTATTTAACTTTATTTATCGACCATTACATAAGCATGTAATTACTGGTTTGAATATTGGGAAACAAAGATGACAAACACTTAGGGAAAGCACCTTTTTTTTCCCCTTTCCCAGGCCCTAGATAACTCTCCTTCCCCATTCCTAGGCTTTGCTCCGCTTGTTATCACCATCAACGTAGGTTACATTCAGTCCTTTCAGTAGGGTGATGTGTGATGCAGGAGGCTGCAATGAGGACATAGTGGTTTCTTTCTGCCATTCCTTCTTTCTCTTCCACTACTCCTTCTGCCTAACTCATTTCCTCTGTTTTGTTTGGGATTACTCACAGGCTGCAGCCCTTTTGGAGGTGTACTTGCTCTAGCATGCGCTTATGCATCGGCCACATTCCCTTCAGGGGTGTTAGCAACTATGCCATGGAGCACCTTGTATTGCTCTGGCCTTCTTGTTCCTCTGTTTTGGTGTTCTAAGAGGTGCAACAAACTCCTCCAACTGTCCCAGCTGTTTCCCGCTGTGGGTCCGTTGTGGAGCCAGCTAGAACTGACACCGTCTATCACAGTGCAACCCCTTACCTGCATCGCGCAGAAGTCACCCCTTCAACCATCCACTGCTACCATAACTTGCTACTTATACCAAATACATTTGAATATGAGAATAGTGTAGGAGGCAGTGTCAAAAGCCTTCGTAAAGTCAAGGTAATTACCACCCACTGTTCTGCCCTTATCCACAAAAACTAATCATTTTATCCTAGAAGACAGTGGAGTTGGTCAGGCATGATTTACCCTTCATTAGTCAGTTTATGCTGAGTGTTCCCAGTCGCCTTATTCTCACTGAGTTTTTGCTTTCATGTTTGTGTGTATTTCTATCCCTTTTTTTTTCTTTCTTCAAGTTTGTCCTCAGTTTTAGGATGTGAGGTTGTTATCATTTGTGTAACATCTTTTCTTGATTGTTTTCTCCACTTCTATATATACTCCGGTTCAAAAGATACTATGCTTAGCTGAAACTTCTCATATTTGTTGAACAGGTTCTGTAGTACAGAATGAGAAAATACAAAACTGAAAATATAAAATTTAAACTGATAAATGCCAAAATGTATTCACAAACTTCTTTATATTTTTCAGCTCTACTTCAAGTCACAATTTCACTTAACAAAGTTGAGCTCAGTGTGGGTGAATCCAAGTTCTTCACATGCACAGGTATGTATTAATTTTACTTGTATGTATGTATTTTGTTATGTTTTGAACCTTCTACATAATTTGAAGCTGAATTAATTGATTCACAATATTAACTTAAATTAGCATGTTTTTAGATACTCACATCGACTTGTGCTAAATAGTAGATTTTCACTGGCTTCACGTTTCCAGTCTAGAAACTATTAATTTCAGACTCTGAATCACTCAATTTGAATTCTCTATATCAGTATAGGTAGTTTATATGCGTTAGGATGCTTCATTAGTTAAAATATTTTTGCTTGTCTAAACTAAGGAGTTAAATAAGCTACTAGGCTTTCCAACCCGAGACACCCAAAAAGTCTTTTCTCGGGAGGTGTATGTCATGCAGAAGGAGAAGCTTGCATTTGCAGCTGCCAGATGTGAATCCTTGATGTTGCTGACTTGCCATCTTCCATTGACAATGACACATGGCCTGACTGCACTGACAACAGAACTGACTGATGACTTGACCTTTTGATCAGTGTCTGCTGAACAGCCTGTTTCTTTCCTTTAAGACATTATACCTTTCCGTGTTTATTTTTTTTCTGTCCTGAATCCTTGAGTTACTAGTTATCTTGTCTCAACAATCATACATCTGTCTGCAGTTTTGCCTTGCTTGTCTTTCTGCTCTTTCTCACACCTCTCATAATTTAGCAATTCTGTAACACTGCATAGATATTGTGCGTTGGACAGGCATACATGTTGCATGATATCTACCTGAACTTCTAATGTTGGATTGTTTTTTGTTTTTGTTTGTAGCCATTGGTGAGCCTGAAAACATAGATTGGTACAATCCACAAGGAGAGAAGATTGTTTCTAGTCAAAGAGTGGTTGTTCAGAAAGAAGGCGTTCGGTCACGTCTAACCATTTATAATGCAGATATAGAAGATGCTGGTATATATCGGTGTCAAGCAACAGACGCTAAAGGACAAACTCAGGAAGCTACCGTTGTTTTGGAAATTTATCGTAAGTAAAATATTATCAATTAACAAATGAAAGACTATGTTTTAAAAGACACTGCTATTGAGAAAGTAAAGCCTATCAACATATCTTCCCAGGCTCTGAACCTTATCTTCAAAATAATTACATCTCCTGCAGTTTAGTTAATAGATATTATGACGAAGACTTAGATGAAATGGATTGCCACTATGTAATATTATAGATCACTATTCCCGTGTATCTTAGAATGCCACCTTATGAGAGTGCACTCTATGCCCCTCATGGAAAAGAGGAAGTATGAGAAAAAGTTATGCCAACCTAATTCTTATTACAAATACGTCTACAACCCATTACAAACACGTGCATAAATAAAAGTGCAGGAAGTGCAATATATGATATTTAAAAAGTGGAGTTTAGGCTGAATTAGTAATTTTTATGTCACTCTCTTCCTATTCTTGGCCTTATGATGGGATTTTGCTGCAAAGCATTGAAGCTTAATGTGATAAGCAACCAAAATGTATTTCAATTGCAAACAACTAATTGAGGAGTATATTTGAAAAGAAAATATATTCTATTGTGGTATGAGATTCTCTAAGAGTTTGTTGTTGGTTTTTTGGTTTTTTTTTTCAATTTAGTTAAATATCTTTACATTGTACTATATTTTTTAGATCAATCAAAAATACCTAAACCCAATATATTAAACAAGTACACAGTGAATATATAAAGGTCTTTGTTGGTGAAAAGATGGAACATATGCTGGCAGCCTTCCATCTGAGATATTATTTAATTTTATTAAAGAATAATTTTTAATATTCATAAAAAAATTGTTTGTGGATGGACAGAGCACTAAGGAATTGCAATGAGACAGAAAATATAGAGTAGAATCATAAATCACTGTTCCTGAAAGGTACAGATATCTCAGATAACAAGACATACAATTTAAAAAAAAGAAATCTATTGATACAAGCAGCATTAAAATGGTGATAGACATTACAAGTGATTACGTGATGGCTTGAAAGCTGGCATTTGAAAGGATTTCAAGTTTTTTGGATTCATTAATATGCTTAAAATAGCCAGTCACTTCATTAGCAGACAGCTGAGCAAGGTTGAAATAATCTTTCAAAGTGTTTGCATGTGGTAATTTTAATAATTCGGAGGTTAGATAAACCCAAAGACCTACACAAAAAATGTGAAGGTTTGTGGGAACTGACATGTAAAATTTTAATTGTTCGTGTTTGTGATATATTGTAGGGAAAGCAGGATACACGTACTCCTACGGTGTGGTTCAGTACTCACTGATGCCTGTGAGAGTTTTTCTTCTGACTTACGTATGGTGAAATACTTCAAAAATGTTGTACAAATACTTGTACTTGTAAAAGTATATGAGAGATGTATATAACGAAAGTGTGCTCCCTCTGCTTTTGACACTGTATGGATTATTTGAGCCTGCACCTCCTATCAATACAAAAAGGTGGAGGTGGTGTTGCATCTCTGACTTATGTTCTTCAAAGTGTCCTCTGAAACATAATTGGCAGTCTTTGATCCTAGAGAACATAGTCAGTTTGTTCCTTCTGTGTGCAAGAAATTCTTCCGGAATTTTTTGTCGGTCAATTGGTTTCTGCATTAGATCTTGTATGAGATCATGGATTAATGCCATTTTGGATTTCTAAAATCTAATAATACTGAACTTATTCAACCCACTGATAAAATTAAATATCAAATATGGTTATTTGGGATTGAAAAAATTAAAAGCCTTTTCAGGCCTAAAAAAATCTTATTTCCTCAAAAACATGCTACAAAATTCTTATGACTTAAAAAGAGTAAGTTTTTCTGTATAGTTTCCTACTGGCTTTTAAGATTTTATGTTTCACTCAGCTGATGTTTTTCACAGTCAGTGAGGCTAAAGTTCCACCTTTTTAATAAGACTTTTCCAAATAATTTTAGTGGTTTTGATGAAAGTTTTGATGGAATAAAAATGTGAGGTTTAAATTCAATATGATCATAAGGTATAAAACACACAAGAGAATAAAATAGTCTATTAACCTGAATACATAATTTTCTAAAATAATAGTTTCAAAACTGGGCTCTGGAACATTGAAAACCATGAAAAATATATTTATAAAACATGCTCAGTTTACGTAAATAAAAAAAGTTTTTCATAATGCAAAATTATTGTAAAATCATTTCTACAGAATGGAAGTCATATGGCCAGGACCATTTGAGCTTTATCTGGGAAGATTATATTATGGAAATAATTCTCTATTATCACAATGAGAAGGCTTAGTAGTCATCTTTATCTGATTTGGTGTCACATAATTTTAATGCTAAGTGAACTGGAAGACACTTACTATATTCTGTTTTCTTCCTTTTCAGAAAAGCTCACTTTCCGAGACATAGTATCTCCACAAGAGTTCAGGCAGGGAGAAGATGCAGAAGTTGTTTGCCGTGTTACTAGTTCACCTGCTCCCATTGTCAGCTGGTTGTATCGGAATGAGGAAGTCACAACTATTGCTGACAGTTAGTATTTTGGTAACTCTTTAAGTTATACATTATAATTAACATTAAATTATTACTGTGAAAGAAGACTAATCACATTATAGTGGAGGATTTTGATTAGCCCATCAGCTTAAGCAGAATTTAACCATGTTCCATGGTCTATAGAGAATCCGTATGCAATGTTTTCTTCATGTATTATTTTTTCCTACTGGGAATTTTGTCTAGATGTAACATGAGGGTCCAAATGCCCAAAAGATTGCTGGAAGCTCCTTTGCAGGAACTCTTCCTGGGCTACCATGTATGCAGAAGTTGAACACATTTTAAAACCTACACAGATAAACTTCACTGTGCGTGCAAAGGAATGACACTGAACAAATACTATATTGACAAGAATAAAGGAAATAAAGCAACATTTCCTGTCCAAATCATGCATTTTGAAATTTTTGAGTTTAATTTCAATGCGTGAACTTGTCTTTTTAAGCATTTTCCTTTACAATGCTTACAATGTGAAAAGATGCAATGATAGAAAGCAGTTTTAATTTAAATAGCAGAATACTTTCCTTATGTTCTGATCTAGAGTAGTATCCAATTAAGAATTCAGTCATACTTGGGAGAAAGCAACGTTTTAAATCATGTAAAAATAGGACATCGTGAACTTTGTGAGTTTCGGCTATGTCTATATGGGCTTATAATGCAAATGGAAAAAGGGTATACCCAGAGTCTTACAGTTAAGAAATTTTTTTCGTGCCTTGTGAAATAAAAAGGCTCAGTTTCATATTACATTTCCAGCTTCAGAATCTTCAGTGAAGGATCAGTACCTGTAACCTATTTGTGTAATTTAAGGTTAAGGAACATCAAATTTGTCTGCCGTATTTTAAATACTGTCTATTAAAAAAGAAGTAACTAATTATTCTTGCTGGGTTTTAGTTTGTAGTAAGCTAAAACACTGAGTAACTTCTGTTGTACCTAGTTTACTTGTGACAGTATCTCCTGCTATATCTATTATGAAATGAAAGTTGAAAAGACATCCAGCCAACATCTACCATTATCTGTTTCCTGTTTCTAAATGAACCCTCACTTTTTCAGCATTTTTAAGAAATAAAGATGATCTCCAGTCCTCTTGTTCATCTTGCACATTAAATATTTATATTAATCAAAAAAAAATTACCAATGCTTAAAACATTTTGAAGCACAGTGCTCTGAGAATTATGTAGGTACAGGAAAAAAAAAAAAGATGTAATTTGTATGTGGTAGTGTGTGAAATGGCATTGATGTTCAAGCATGACTTTAATAAACTAGACATAATTAGCGTAAATGTGTTGAGGATATTGATGTCCTGTAAACCTCCATCAGGTGAAGCATAATTAAATTTTCTTTTTTCATTTCTCCCTTCATTTTCTGATAGAGTTCTTGGTGATCAATCAGACCTCACACGGCATAAAAAGCTGTTTTGTTTGTAAATATGTATGTACATGTGTTTTATGCATAGACTCTTATCTGTATAACTACATAAAAGCTTTTCTACCAAGTGTTGTTTATCACTGTTTTGGAATATCAGTGTTGTGTTGTGAGAAATCTAGCATACTTTTGAGAATCCAGCAGAATCAAAAAGGAAAGCAAAGTGAAAAATGACACTTGGTTGCTAATTAAAGCTGAAAGCTAGTAAATCTCATCCTCCTTCAATACTGAAAGGATGACACTGGTTCAAAGTGAGTGAGAAAGACAGCTCAATAACAAGTACACAGGTTCTTCAAAAACCACATACAGTGAACTGCAAGAAGTAGTTCTTCTCAAGAGATTCCATTAATATTGACCAGTTATGGTGGGTTGACATTGGCCAGCTTCCTGGCACCCACCTAGCCCCTCTCTTACGTACTCTCCTCAACAGGGCCAGCTGACCCTGACTAAACACCAGGTGCACACCAAAGCTTCTCTATCACTCCCCTACTCAATTGGACAGGGGAGAGAAAATATAACAACAGGCTCGTGAGTTGAGGTAAGGACAGGGAGATCACTCAGCATTTACTGTCACAGGCAAAACAGACTCAACTTGAGGAAAAAAAAGTAATTTACTACTAATCAATTCAGAGAAGAGTAATGAGAAATAAAACTAAATCCTAAAACACTTCCCCCCCACCCCTCCTTCCTTGGGCTCAACTTTAGTCCTAATTTTCATAGTGAATGAGCAAAGGAAGAGGAGGAGGGAAGGAGAGCAAGCAAGCTGAGAAATGATTAAGCATAGTGCTGTAAAATAGGCAGAGTTGTTTAATCTAGATAGAGAGGGAAGAAGCATTTTCTTATTTGATTACAAATTGCGCAATCTTTTTTCCGTCTCTTTAATCTTTTTTATGTTCTGTGTAGGTGTTCATGAATATTGTACTCATTTTGCAATAATTTATAAATTTAACTTACATTTGATGACACCTCAGAATAAGTAGGAAGTTATGGATGGAAAATCCGTATTGAATTTTAGGAAACAGCAATGGATTTTGGAGTGGGGAAAAAACAAATTTATTTGCTGACATTTTACTTTTAAATTGACAAATGTTTTGTTAATAAGCATTCTGATTTTACAGAGAAAGTACATAAATATTACTCATTTAACTTAGCGTTCCTCGTGTTGACTTGATTTACTAACATCGCTTAATCTCTTACTTGCCTTTCTAGATCGATTTGCAGTATTAGCAAACAATAATCTCCAAATTCTTAATATCAATAAAAGTGATGAAGGAGTATACAGATGTGAAGGAAGAGTGGAAGCCAGAGGAGAAATTGACTTTCGGGACATAATTGTTATTGTGAATGGTAAGGAGTAAAAGTTGTTGAATTGACTTTTTGCTTTACTTCATTATCATAGCCTATTTTAAAATATATCATCTTCTAAATAAAAAACAACCCTGATTAAACTGGTTAATGTAGTTATCATGTCTGTTTAGTATTGCTTTCCTGTAAATGTAATTGCTTAATATTGAAAAAAACCTGCTATGTTATGTAAATATAATTCATTGCATTTCATAGTAACAGTGAATATAAATATGTAAAACCTGGATTATTGTTTTTAATCATTCATAGAACATTGACAATCATTGCAAGACTTGAGTTTCAGATGATAATGTATAGCAGTTCAGTTCACCCTGTATTTTTCAGTGTTTTGTCGTTTACTGTTGAAAAAACACACTGGACTTTTCATAGTTATTCACTTTCACTGCATTAAGATATTTTATTAGCTGTCCCAAAAGTCACAGATACGTTTTAAGATTAACAGTATTACTTACAGATTTTTAACACTCCATTTTTATGAGGAGTAAAATATACAATGAATTATCTGAAAAGTGGCATTATACATTTTATTAGTTTATAATAAACCTGTAAGAAGGAATATGAATGAATTAAGACAAGATGGAGCATTTAGCTCAACCTCTTTCTTAAAATCAGGGCTGACTTGTTGAAAAATAAGTATCTCTTCACATATTGTCTGGAAAGGACACAGTTCATAAAGGGCATTTTTTATCTATGCATTCTGTTTAATGTCAGTTTTTCAATGAAACTACTTCCATCATGCCTATTAGGTTCTGAGTTTTAAATGCTTTACCCTTCACTGGTCCTTCTCGGCAAACCCCAGTTTACGGAAGTCATTATGTAAGTTGAATTCTCAGTTAATTTCAGGAGAAAGAGCAGGTTCTGGCACAGGTTTATTTAATCTATATAGTCAGGGAGCAATCTTTGAAACAGAATTCTTTAGATTGTTGTAGGTAGTATACAGACAGTGGCAAGCAAATGGATGATTATCCTACATAATGTGACAGAATATAACAGTACGTGCCCTATGCACTGTGAAGCCCCCTCCCGGCCCCCAACAAATTGCTTTCCTCTCTGTGCATTGTGGTGCTGCGTTACCTCAACTCCTGGCTATGTACAGTTCCAGCAGCGTGTCTGATAGCATTTAAAATGCTGAATGAGATTTTCTTCTCCTGCTATTTATATACATAGATATGAACCTACATTCTGAACACCTTTCGTTTCTATCTGATATTTATATGCAGTTGAGCTGAGAGAGAGACTGTGTTTAACCTAAAATATCAGATTGCAAACTATGCAAACTATTGCAAAACTTTAGTTTTAGCTGGCCATTCATTATGGTGGCTATTTTTGTTTATAAAATGCTTTAAAGATTACATATGAACAGAATGCAAATTTACTCAAAAGTAGTTAAAAGAAAATCTTGGAATAAAGTTTGATATATAACATTCAGTTTCTAATGTATGGAAATATTTGGTGGGTTATAATAGGTAATAAATTGAAATACATCTGAGATGAATTATGTCTTTGAAATCTGATGTTTAGGAATCTTTTTTCTACTTGTAATACTGAAATTTTTACAGCATTTCTTCTTTACCCATATTTACAATATTTACAGTAAGGTCTATATGGCAGGATTTTATAAAAAGAATAAAAGTCCTTCTGAAAACAAAAATACCTTCTTTTTTGTTCTTTTGCCTCTGTTTCTTTTTGTCTCCTGCCCCAATAGGCTTATTAGATTTATTTCTTGAAGTTTTCTTCACTGTCTGGAAAGTTCCATAAATAGGATAGACATCCTAATCTCACTGACATAAGTGAAGAAGAATTGTTTTCACTTAAAAGTGAATGGATTTTACCACTTTTCTTTAAGTGTGAAATGCAAGAGACTTGCTAGTATAGTTTCATTTTGCTTTTCATCTTTTAGGTTGACACTTTAGTTCCATCCTACGCACATAGAAGAACAGCATCAAAGATAAACAGATCTCTTCCCAGAAAGAACAATGAGAAAGACTAACATTTGATTTCTGAAAAGAAAAATAATATTTCATTTCATTGTCACTGAAGTACCTTTTGGAAGACTGAAGCACTTAAGTAATATGCTGAACTGGATCATAGTTCTATAGTTCTTCATAGTGAGCAGCAAAGAACCTGCTACTTCTGGCAAAGAATTGTTTCAGCCCCATATGTTACTGAGTATATTTTCAGGTCTAGACATTAGAATGCACTGTAAAATGGCTAAAATGTATTAAACACTTTCTAAGTGACATTTTTTTGTGGAAGATGCTATTGCACAACAGAAGGGTTTTGTAAGCTAATGGCCCATGCAGTTTCAGATAGGAAAGAAGTGATCTGTGAAACACAGATTTCAGCACACCAATAAAAAGTATGAAAAGTATATAACATTAACTTACTGATCATCGATAATTCTGATACATTATTTTTTAATAATTTGATATATTTGAGGTTCAGAAGCTGGAAAGGCTTCTGAAGTAGAATATTAAAGCTAAAATATTTGGTGCAAACCATAAGTTAACTCTAAACAGTTTGTGAGAAAAACCTGTGGAAGTGCAATGGGAAGCCAAAAGCAAATTCATTGGGGTTGCCCTTCTTCTTCTTTCCTCTAGTGAAAGTTAAAGCTAAAAAGAATAACTGAGTCATTCTGGTGACAGGATGTTCTCACTAGCAGAGACCTGTATTTTGCGAAACTAATCTTCTTTTCCCTTTCCTCTCGTTTTCCCTGACATTCCTTCTTTTCCACGTATCCTCTTCCTTCCAATCTACTGGCATTTGTTTTATTTATTTGCTTGATAGGAAACAGATTTAGGACAGCTGTCCTCAAATTACCGTATGAACAGAGATGTTAAGTATTCGCCTGTGAGTTGTTCTGTCTTAAATGTTAGTGTTATTTTTTCTGTTGGGCAGAGGTTCTCTGCGAACTGGTACAATTTTAGTGATAACTTAATCCCATAAAGAACAGACAATATTTGCTGCTCTCAAAACACAGTTGCAATTTTTGGAATTAACAAATTTTTTTCCAAAAATAGTTTGTATCCATTGGGTTCTATCACATTTCACCTTTTGAAGCTGGTGATACTCGTGCCCAGGAAATATGCAGGAGTTCAGTAAAAAGAATTAAATTTTCACAATCAAGACTACTACACACTTATACATGATAGGTATAGCTTCAGTCACTTTAAAATGTTCTGTACAAAAATTGAAGAACTGCTGAAAAAGACTTTTTAAAAGTTTATTCTAGTGAAAAAAAAAAAAGAGGATATAAATGTCCTGGTATTAAAAATTTGTGTTTAAGTAAAGAAAAGAAATACTAGCAACAGTGATTCATATTGTAACTTGATCCCTAAGTGTAACCATAAAAATTCAAAAATCAGCAAAGGATGCTATCCTGTGCCTTAAATTTCTCCAGAAACACATAAAATAACTTATTTTTCCATTAATAGGACATAATGTTTTATTTTTCAGTTCCCCCTGCAATTACTTTGCTACAGAAATCCTTTAATGCCACTGCAGATAGAGGAGAGGCAATAACTTTGTTCTGCAGAGCCACTGGATCACCTCCACCTGAAATCAGTTGGTACAGGTAAGTTCAACTGAGGTCCGCACATCAGAGCACATTGTTTTAATGTGTCACGATTTTCTATCACAGTCCATTAACCTTAATTTCTTTACTGAATTTTAATAGCATTTACTGTCTGTTTCTGTTTTAACATCTAAAGCTAGATTCAGCATTAAGTGAATGAAATCACACAAATTCAGTTGCACTCAGGTTGCCAGCAAGAGAGATAAGTGTAAAAAGTAACTAAAATACCATATTGACATGAGTTCTTCGTATTTGAGCAGAAAGAAATAAAGCTGAAGCAATGAGTCCATACCTCAAAAATGTCACAACTTTTGCACATGAATGCATCAAGTAAAAATATATGCAGTTATGCAATGAATATCCAATACGGATCAGCAATACTGGTAACAAAGAGAACATTTTCCCCATCTGTAAAAATAGATTCTAACCCTAACTTTCCATTTCAATGAGTTTCAGAAGGAAGTATGGGTTTAAACACCTCTAGGATATGGGAATGTTTCAAGGGTATTTTATGTAATTTTTAAGATGTAATATGTTTTGAAAATGGAACTGCTTTTAAAGTTCATGTGTGTTTTTTGATGATACCAATGACACAGACATAATATAGCTATGTCATTTGGGAACACTTACCATATAACATTTGTAAAACTTTGAATATCCATATATTCTATATTCTTTCAGTTTTAACAAAGATATAGATCAGTCCTGGGATATAAAGTATTTCAGATACCTCGTACTAGTGCACATTTCTATTTTAGACCTGAATAATTTGCATCTACTTATATTATTTCAGGTGTATTAAAAGGTCACTGCGTTTTAAAAATGGACATAGAAGGGATTTCCATCAATTCTTAATCTCCTTTAGAATCTTTGAACAATGTTAGATTCATTTTAAATGTTAGCTTCCTTTGACTGACACTTTTATCTTAACATGCCATGAGTCAAATGTGGATTTAAATTTTTCTCTTGTGCAATTTGAATATGAGGAGATTTAAAGAATTAGAATGCAAAGATAATTCCCTTATGTGGCTTAGAATTCAGAACTTTGTGAAGAAGAGAAGAAAGAAAAACAAAATACGCACAACCCAAATTAAAGAACTGATACTTAATTCAAACTAAGTTTGAATGTTGTAATTATTTAATGACTTTGAAGTAATTTTTTACAGTCTTATCTGGCCAAAATTCTTAAGAGTTTTTTGAAAGCTGGTATCCTAAATTGCCTTAATGTTTTATATTGTTAAGAAAGAATACATAAATTTCCAGAGTTTGTGGATATCTGTTTACAGTTGTGGTGTTTTTTTCAATATTTTATAAATATTACAGTATGTACACAGTCTAAGTGTCTTGGAGAGATGCTTATCATGTCAAAGCCCACTGGAGGATTTTCCTGTGATTTTCCAGCCCCTGAGGCAACTGACTTTTTTAAACCATTCATTAAATAACTTTTGTAAAGATTTTATAAAAGCTTCACAGGCTTGTGTACTGGATACTGAATCTTAAATGTGGAAGCTTCTCTTCTGTTCCTATTTCAGGAGCTATCTCATAGTGAGGAATATTGGTTTATGTACGCCCCTTCCCTTTTGTTTTTTGTTGTTGGGGTTTTTTTTGTTCCTTTCATTCTCTTTTCATTTTGTCTTATTAGGCTATAAATTCTTGGCAGTAGAAAATACTCTTGCTTTTTTATTTGCTGACAGTGAGAGGTTGTAAAGTGGTAGGTGGAAGAGGCCCCTGGTCACTATGACAGGATATTATTATTGATGTGCAAACAGGAAAAAAAAAAAGATGGGAGGAGTGAAATTATATTTTCTAGAGGAAGCAACCTTGATTCGAAATTGTATCACAGTACTAAATTTCTGCATCAAATTTCTGAAATCTGTCCTGAACTGTTCAGTTCCCTTTTCACTCACATATAGGTAGCCAGTTAAAAGGATTCAGGATCAGCTAATATCTTCTGCTTGTCCTTGGATTTATCTAGCAGATATGTCAAGATAAAGACCTTAGTTTTCTAGTATATTTCAGATTATTTTTCTTTAGAAATTACAGAGCATAGGAAAACTAGATCAACATAATCCTTCTTCATTTTGAGAAAAATCTAGAAAGCATTGTCAGTGATACAAAAGTCTATCAAAACTGATTTATCTAATACTAATATGCTTGTCATCCATTGAGAACCTAATTGAATCCATTTATCAGAATTAATGACCAAGCTGTCATATTCCCTTTTTCGTCCTGTTTAGCGTACTTTTTGATGTTGGATGTAAGTTGATATAAACCCCAGTTTTATGTGTTTCTCTTTTAATAAACAAGTGGAATCCCACCTTGAATATGATTAAGTGTTAATGCTGATTTTTGGAAGGATTATAACCTTTAGTTGCAGCAAGTTATGTGAATCGTGTTCAGTTTTATTCCCAACTATACTGTTTATCTATGTGGATTCAGTCATTTCATTTAATTTGCCTCAGGTTAGCCATTTGTAAAAGAAGTGTGTGTAATAATGTGACTTAATGGAAGTCTGTTTTCTGAATACATAGCTATGCTAAGGAAAAAATTCTAGAGAGATGCAAACTATTATAACAGAGAATAATGTTTCCTTGTAGAACACAAAAGTATACTGAGCATTCTGGAGAGCTAAGGAAATACTCTCATAAAAAGGGTGGGAATGATTTCTACTCTGTTCTGCTGGAGGATTTTCATTACATGGTATAGAGAGTATATCCATACCTGTTGAGATGGTTCATCAAGATTAAGGACCTGTTTTATACTCAGTTCAGTGTTCTCATGTCTTTGTTGCCTTTTAAAATGGGCTCTGACATCAATTATTCTCTCATTCACTCTAGTGAAGTTTCTTTAGCAAGGCCTGCATAATTTAGATCTATCATTATGTAGTCTTACTTTCCTTACAATCCATTGATATCTTAGTCAATTAAAAAATAAATTACCTTAATTTTCCTTTTTTGTTATTTCCTTTCTGGTTTCGAATGAACTGATTTAACAGTTCAGCTTCAGGCAGGACATGAAAACTGGCTAAATTTTTAAAATCAAGTGACAGTACTGTTGAAGTGGCTTATATATCCATCTTGTTGACTGTAAGCAAGAAGCTAAACAAAACAGTAGTTTCAAGCTTTCAGCTTTTTAAGACAGTAGCTAATGTGGTAAAGCTTAAGCTTTACTTTATTTGTTGACCCTTTTCATTTCCAGGTGCTGACCATGTTTAAGATTTTGTCAAATTAAAATGGAGGCAACATTTGTGTCAATCTTTCTCAAAAACAAAATGCTTTGGTTCACTTACAAGTTAGTCAGTCTGAAATACCTAGTCAAGAAGAAAGGTCAGGAAGGTTTAGTTGCTACTCTGTTTTATATGCATATATACTTTGTTGATATTTCATGGACCAAGAGAATCTAGTTCTTTCACCATGTCACTGATACTTCCAATGAAGCCGCTATTACGTTAGTGTAAAGCATGACCTTCGGAGAAGCTATATACTAATAGAATTAAATTAGCCAGGACTGAAAGGTAAAGATCCAAATGTAGACGTCATGAACTGGAAGTGTTTACTCCTGTCAATAGTCCTACTGAAAACATGATGATTGTTTACATCTGTGGAGATAATTTACACTAGTAAAATTTAGGTGGATCAATCCCCTTATCTTTACTGACAGGACTTAGTATTATCTGACAAAAGAAATAATACGTTTTTAAAGTGTTATTCATGTTTTCTTGTTCTCCAATATCAACATCATTCTGAATCTCTGTTTGCTAGAAGGTCCACGGGAATGCTCATAATCTCATTTCTGCTTAGAAATTGTCATAGATATACTTGATGTTTGTGATAACATGCATTTGGAAACTACTTCTGACCTTGAATGTAGACTTTTGTCTCCTAAGAGAAATCACTATTTGTTTGTTTATTTGTTTATTGTGAATCTACCTATGTGGAAAATCGGACATTTTCTGTTCTGCAAAAGAATTTCTATGATTTTCTTCGAAAAGGAGGTGAACAAATACCGCAATAACGTCTTAAAGTGGACAGCTAAGTCGAATAGAGTTATTTACAAAAATGTTACGAAAATGCAAGTTATATATGCCAGGGGAATCCTATTAACAGGTATTAATGTTCCCAAGAAAGAAGCAGTATTCTTGCTTTTAGGGAAAATATTATTTTAGAAAATATGAAATACATGTTATTGGCATTATGCGAGAAGAAAGTGAAAATCATTGTTTCTCAAATCTTGAAACAAATCTAGATGTCCTAAGCTAGGCATATTGAATAGAATAGAATATTTTAGTAATGCATATTGGTTTCATTTTACAAATAATTTGTTTTCAAGACATCGGCATTGTCAGCAGTATTATCAATACTTATGAATAACAAGTGATTTTTATGTAGGTGCTTATGAGAAGGGGCTGTTGATGATTCAACAAATATAAAATCAAAAGAAGCCTAAAGCAAACTAGATAGATGAGAAGAACTAAAAAAAGTTAAAATTTTGCTCTTGAAAAAGAAGCTGTTTTGATAACTGTGTATGCCAAGGTCTTCAAAAGGGTCAGTCAAGCCTCCATCAGCCCTTAGAATTGTTCACAGGTTTTATTATTTCTGTACCATCTGGTCAGAACTCATTCTAACATCTGGAGACATGCCTGCTTACTAAGTTGTGGCTAGCCAACAACAACTGAGAGGAAATTTGGAAGGGTTCTTTCTGTGCCAATAGGCTGTACGTGTATGTAATTAAAAATATTTTTTATAAGTTGGTACATTTTTACTCATTTGAACTGCAACAGTTACATTTAGAAAATACTGTTTTAAAAGTTTCTGACATACAAATATGTATTTGTCTAACCAATTTCCTTCTATCCTTCCTTGAGTGTAAGCCATATGTTAGAGTTCTATTCACAAGCATTTTTCTAGCATTAAGTCAATATTGAACTTTTAAGAATAAAGATATTATAATATTTTTAATACACACATGCTTTAGAACCTGACGCTAAAATGGTGAAGCTGGGCTCTTGAACATCAAAACACAGTTCAGAATGCCTTGCTTGTGTCTAGAATATGCACATTATTGTGAAAAAAACCCCACTGTGATCCTGGAGGACAATTTTTGTCATGCTAAAATGAACTCACTTCTACACATACTGCCAATTTATGCCATGCGAGTTAATGCATTTTTGAGGCTAGCATAATAAGTAGCGATCTCTTCCCTCAAAGATTATTTTCGATATATTGATGCTTCCATAGCACATTATTTCAGAGTTTGGAACCTACTGGTTGATTTGTACGTCATTCTTATTTTTTTAGGAATGGCAAACTTATTGAAGAAAATGAAAAATTTATGCTGAGAGGAAGCAATACAGAACTAACAATAAGAGATATAAAAAATACTGATGCAGGTCCTTATATCTGTAATGCTAAAAACAAAGCAGGAAATGATAAAAAACAGACTTTCCTTCAAGTTTTTGGTAAGTACTGCATAGTATGTTGCATTCTTCCTTTTTAAATGTAAACAGTAGGGAACTGAAGTGATTTCACAATTTTCAGTGGAACAAGACACCTGTAAGGTGTCTACTGATGCAACAAACCGCACTCTGTATAATTTTACAGCTTTTTCCTCCCTGTTGGCTACTTTAACCTTTACACGTGAATTTAATTTTGAAAAGGATGTCTTCGGCATTTGCTTTTCTACTATTCGAATACAGTACAATGGAGTATTAAATTGTTAATTCACTCTGCTTTTCCTTTAAAAGTTGTCTGCTGCAAAAAAAAATAAGAGGAAAATGAGGGGAAAATTCTGAAACGGGAAAACCCAAGTTATTTGGACTTCTAAGCAGTACTGGTTTTATATGCAGAGGTGTTCCTAATTTTTTTAATTTGTTTTTCTTTCTTGATTTTTATTTTTAAGAGCATGATTGCAGATTTAGTCACAAAAATATTGTCTGATCTGAGTTTCAAAGAATAAAAATAGTAACATGAAAACTATTTCTTTTTCTATGCTTTACCACCCAGTCGATGTCCGTGATTCTCTCCTTTACATTGAACTGGTAATTTCTTTGAAGGCTTATATAGCTACAACCTAGTAAGAGTAGGCATCTGTGAGAATGCAGAAAACCTCCCTCTGAATCATTGTGCCTGATCAAGGCTGTAGCTTACTTATGAAAAGTAGACAAAAAAGTAATGTGTTGGGGTTTTTACATTAACTGTAACTCGTACTGGAGGGAAAGACCATTTATATTTGAACAGCTAAAGTACGTATTGAGTACCATGCGAAATTAAATTTTAAGTCCCAGTTAAAACTAATAGTAATTTATAAAAAGTGAAAAACTTCTAACAGGAGAGGGTAATATGATAACTTTTACTGGAAGAGCTAAGCTGTTGGGTTGGATAATACTGTCATTTTGGATCTGGGAGCCTGAAGCTGAAGTCATGGTGTCAGGTGAACAAGTTATCTGTGTCTGTGCATTCCACTGTCTTTCCTGTTTGAGAAATTCTTCATAGCCCTCCATGCCGTGCTGTCCCCAGTGCCCTGTACTCCAGATGGGTTGCCTAACAGTAGGCAACTTTGTTGTGCTGAGGTACTTGAAAGTTACTTTCAATTACTGTTCAAAGGAAAGAAGATGAAATAGAATTTTAAATTTCATCCCAACCTCAAAATGTACAGCATCTTAAAGATTTTTGTGGAAAACCTAAACATTTCATTCAATTGTATTTCCAAAATCGGAAAAAAAAAAAAAAAAAGAAAAAAAAAAAGAAATAAAAAAGACTTGCCAGTTTGCCAGTTTTCATATGAGTTTACGGAAGTTTCAGCTAGAAATAATTTTGTGTGTTGTTCGTGTAATTTTACGTATGGGTGCAATTTACTTAGTTTTTGCCTAAGACAAGGTAACATTTTAATTCAAGCAACAGGGAAAGGGAGGCACCAGACTAAGAGTGTGTATTTCCTGTATACATTCTTCCATCTTGTAACAACCACTGTTCTGGGGACTCCCTGGGAAGCTAAATCCAAATGATTTAATAGATACCATGAGTTTGTTTAATCCATTTTTAACTTACATATCCTTTTTGTTTCCGTGACATCCTAAACTCCTAAATTCCTTAAAAAATTTCTTCCTAGCATGAAAAATTATTTCTTATGTTTAAGTCTGGAGCCTATTAATTTCTTTGAATGATAATTCTCATTTTAAGATAAAAGTGAAGAATAATTCCATATGTTGTTTACATTATAAATGTAGTTTTCGATCTCATTAGTTCATTTATTTTCTAAGCTGTGAGTTTGCGGTCTGTTTAGTTTCTCCTGTGGAAACCATTATGAGTCACTGAACGACACATTCCTGTACCTTTCCGGTTATAATCCCCTGTTTGTGATATGGCAAGGCAGGAATGGCATGCAGGATTCACATCATGGGGGGAACCTGGCTGTTCAGCAGTACAGTGCGGCTTCTGCTTTGATCTCATTGCCTTCTCTCACATTTTGTTTGCCTCTCTGGGTCTCCCCAAGTACTGAACTGGTGTTCCCACAGAACTGTCTGCAGTGTCTCCCAGGTCTCTTTCCTGAGTGTTATAGGTAATTTAGAGCACAACACTGAGTATGTGTATTTAGAGTTATTTTTCCTGTGTGCTTTACTATTGGATATATGTAAATTAGATTATAATAATCTCTGTGCTGTTAGCTTAACTTCAGGGAATAGTATCATATATTAAGCATCTTACCTTTTTTGTAATCTCTAAACCTCAATGTAATTTTAGTCTAATGTTGCCTTTATAAAGTTCACCTCTACTTCAACTATGAAAATGTGAAGGAAAGTTATATTTTCTCCTCCAAAGAACTTTACTTTTTCTTTTGTCTCTTTTGCACAGGTTAAACTCCCAGTCATATATACAGCCAACAACTTATACTTTTCTTCCCCTTAAATGTATTCAAAAAACTGCAGTCTGCAAATGGCAAGGCAGATGGCTGATTATTGCAGCTAAGTAGTACGCAAACAGCCAGTTTGTGTTAAAATGACCTATTAAATTACGTTATTCTTTCCTACTCCATTAGCTTCCTTGTCTCACATATCTGCTATTTTTAATTTTAATTTACAATTCAAACTCCTTGGGGCAATGACTATGATTTGTACTACAACAGGGCTCTGGCAAGGTTGAAACTTGTATTAACAGTAATGTAACCATAATGCAATTAAAATAACAGTAATGTTATAGTATTCAGCATTTAAAATTCTGAGTATTCTGCACTTTTGAATGGACATAACCATCTTAGTGCCATCTAACAGCTGCATATGTTTAGTTTCCATGCATGACCTAGATTTTTTTGTTAAACAATTTTTTTTTCCAGTACCAGTGTTAAAAAAGCTATTTTGTCCTGGTATAAAATTCTTACTCTGACAGTTTTTCTGCGGCACTAACACATGTATAGAAACCAATAGGCATACACCCTGCTCTCCCCAATTCTTCAGCTTTATTAGTGCTTTTTATCTGTTCTGTCTAATAACAGATAGAAGAGTAAAGAAAGCCCTGTTTCCCTTAGAGGATTTCTTACTAACCATGTTTTGGTAACCTCTGTCTGTCATCTTGTTATCTGCTATAGTTCTCTCTGTATCATTCCCCTTTACTACCTAGAAGATCTCATACGTATTAATGATTAGTACAAGTCCTAAGGTTTTTGATACAAATTCATTTATGTTTAGTCCTTCTGAACAGCTTGAAACCATAGGTGTTCTTCCTTGAAGTCTTTAAAAATATCTTTAGTATTTGTCTCTGTTTGGTAGCTAACTTTTTATATCTCTTTCACCCAATTTATGTCTCTTTCTTTTATGTCACCTTTTGACCCATACTATTCAGTTTCATTGTTTTCTTTCATTTATATTGTGATATAATTAGTCATACATATATATATATGCATGTGTGTGTTTAGATACATGTGAATTAGCATTTCAAATCATAAAATGCCACATTTTTACAGCTATGGGCACCCCAACACAAATTTCCATAATAACAAGCAGTGGATTTAAGAGCAGTCAAGCAAATTCAATACCTTACAATCTTCCTACATAATCTTACTTTCTCAGACCTAAACATTCATTTCTTCATCATTCCTTCCCCAAAGTGATGGCAGTAGTGTTCATTTATCTTATAATAAAAAAATCTAATCAGGCTAAATGAAACAAAATTAGCTTTAATAAAAGACATATTTGTACTTTATAAAAGTAGTGCTTATATTCTGAGGACAATTTTTGTATCTTCATTATGTTTGTTCTTCAGTTACTCATTTCCAATCCTTAATCACTCAAATGCTTGATTCTGCTGTTTGATGATGCATAAACAGTTGAGGATTTCAACAAGTTTTCTCTCTTCTGTACATGTCCCATAGAAAGAGACAATTCTATGTCTAATAATTTTTATTTCTAGAAAGAGAATTATTTTTTTCTTTAATCAGAATTGGTAAAAAGTTGGAAGGAATTCTAGCATAAGTTAATTTGAAGTTCTCTAGGGTTTAAGTGTTTTACCTACATAATTAATGAGAGAGTAGTCTGAATTTATAAAAATATTTCACTGGCATTTCAGTAGTTTCTGACAATTGATTTCATGAAAGTCAAATGAGGGAAAAATACCTCAAGAAGCATTGCAAAAGACCTTTTATAATTATTCTGTAGTTTAAGTACGTATTATTTTTTCTAGATGTCTTTTTAAGTAGAAACTGAATCTTGTGTAGCAGGAAGGTTTTTGCAGCTGTGTTTAATGTAACTATTATTGGTTATTGAGAAAAGTGTTATTATTAATTTATTAATACTATTAATGTAATAATATATTAATTTAATTTAATACATTAAAGTAATACATTAGTTAATCTATTAATACTAGTACCGTTATTAATTTATTATCTGTCATCAGGCAGATGAGAGGAAAAGTAATGGACCTGTCCTGTCTTATCCCTGTTAGATGTGTTCCAAATGTTAAAGGTCAAAACATTTAGGTTAATTTAGGCCCTCAAAAGCCATACATCTTGGAACTCAAGTGCTGCAGTGATATTGGGGTGTGAGGTTGCCTGAACTTTTTCAGGCTTAATGACTGCATTCCTTTTACATTTATGGTGCCTGGAGCCCCCCTAATTATTTTTCCTTTGAGCTTAATAAGTAGATTAATATGTGGTTTGGTATCGTTTTACTGTTTGGGGTTTTTTGGGGGGGTGTTTGTTGTTTTTTTTTTTTTCCCTAAGATGCTATTCAATACATCTATGGAAGCTCTTCATTTAAATTCACTGATATCTCTAGGAAGGGGATCCCATGGATCTGTGTATGGAACTATCTGTGCCTGCTCAGCCTAGATATTATGAAGTACACCAACTGCAGCTTCACAAAGCGGAATTCATCAATTAAACATATAATGTCAAAAGTTCATACATTTTCTGTATTCCTTCTTCCTCCCTCTTATGACCTTACCTGTTTGGAATACCTTTACTTTTTAAAATAAAAATGGTACAATCTACAAAGGCAATGATGCCAGTTCTCTCAGAAGACAAATCTTGAATCACTTTGAGTGTGAAGTAGTAATACCATTTTAACAGGTACGAAGACTCAGGTTTATCATGTACTAAATCAAACCAACACTTCATACTGGTGTGTGTGTGAATCCTTGTATGTCAGGAATCAAGTTTCAGGAGTCTGTTTCTTAGATATTTCCTTGTTGGGCTCTAGCTTGTTTACTAAATTCAAATTGTACCAGCAGTTTCCAGGAGGATGCGGTTGCAGTTTTACTACCTGATTCAAATGTGTCTGTGCAGGAAGATAGCATAAGAGTATGATTCCTCATGTGTTATATTAAACAGGAGATCCTATCAGGCAGCAATAGAGACATATACTAAGCCTCTCACCAGTAAATCCATGTTTTCATTAAGAAGAAGCTGTTTAAAGTAGTTCTTTTGATGAGATACAATCAGGACTATCTCAAACTTTATGTATGTGCTGCTTCCCAAGTCTGATGGAACTCTTTTGTCAAAGATATGTGTAGAACTCTGAGAATTCAATAAATCGTGTACCTTTTCCAAGAAATCGGTTGTAAGCAACTGATGACAAATCTAAAACTGCAGATTGTTCTTAAGCTTTTTGGGGAGGCTGTAGGTACACAGAAATGAGCTCAGCCCTGGTCAGAGACAAATCCAGAAGAGACCAAGGAAGTAATCTGAAAGAAACTTGTTTATTGAGGAAGTATTAGAGAACACCTTCTCTGCTCAGAGAACAAAATTTCCAACCAGTAAATGTTGTTTCTTTATTGGCAGCATCACTCTCTTAATATTTAAAAAATGCATGTCTAGTAATAAGCAGTTCCTTACCTTCCAAAAAAATAATTTTAATGACGCTTAAGCATAACTTCTTTCTATATTCAAGTCTTCTTTCATTTCAGCCAGGTCATTCAGTTTACAGTTTTTAAAGTGCATTATAATAGAAATACTTCAATATTTTTGACTGAAGACTTGGAGGCTTCCTGGATTTACATTCCAAGACCATGTATTTTCATTTATTTCATATTTGGTAGAGTACAGCAAGCAAATACCAATTCAGTTTGATGATGACCTTGTCAATTTAGAAAGAACAGTTAAAGAATTAGGGATGGGGGAAACAACTGTTTCAGTATTTCAGTCAATACTAGTCTTGGCATTCTCAAATAAATATTGTTATTTATGTGTACACAAAAGTATTTTAATAATTTCCAATGTCCAAAATGTCATACAAAAGTAGCCAGTGTAAAAACTTCTAGTCAATAGCAAGTTACAACTTGTGACCTACAAAAATGAAGCAATTAAATAGTATCCCCGGCATAAGCGCTCTTCTTCTTCCTAGTAATAGCTGTCAGCTAGACTTATTTGATGATTAATCAGTGCTTATTCCTTTAAATGTCAGCTGCTCTTATCTAAAATGTTACTTTAAAACTTTTTGTCTTAGAATCATAGAACAGTTTTAGTTGGAAGAGACCTTCAAGATCATCGAGTCCAACCTTTGTCGTAGTTCTACCAACACCACTAAACCATGTCCCTAAGTACAACATCTACCCATCTCTTAAACACCTCTAGGGATCGTGACTCCACTCACCATCTCCTGTTCCAATGCCTGACAACCCTTTCAGTAAAGAAATTCTTCCCAATATCCAGCCTGAACCTCCTCTGGTGCAGCTTAAGGCCATTTCCCCTTGTTCTATCGCTTGTTACTAGGGAGAACAGACCGACCCCTGCCTCGCTACAACTTCCTTTCAGGTAGCTGTAGAGAGCGATAAGGTCTCCCCTCAGCCTTCTCTTCTCCAGGCTAAACAGTCTTGAAGTGATCCATTTGAAGAAGGCCTTAAATAAATTTAGAATATAAGTCTAAGATTAAAAGTTAAAGAGTAGTAGTTATGTGTTTTAGAACATGCATCATCTTGAGCAGATCATATTGTTTGTCACGTGACCCAGATGGGGAAATCCTCTCATTATGACAGAAATAATGTAATTCTAAACCTTGCAACTTTCTGCCAGAAAGTACTACCTATGGTGCTTTTTTTTTTTTTTTTTTTTTTTTTGGGAGAGGTATATCTGCCATAGCTCTTTCCTCGTTTCCATGAATTATATCAAAGGAAAGAAAGGAAAGAACAGATCATGTTGTAGCCAGGAGACATGGCTATAGAAATAGAGTACCTGAGGACCAAGGTAAAATATTTCGTAGGCATTTGTATGATCCTGAAAGTAGGAGTAATAATTGAAGTTATTTTGAAGGTTAACATAGTTATCTTTTATCTCAAATTCTTTTTTGTACTTCTTTCAACTGACATACCACTGAGGAGAGTTTTAGCTTTTCTCAGCCAAATTGATGTCCTGCTGTAATGCTTTGCTTAATCCCTTCTACTGCATCCAGTAAAACTGAATCCAGTTGACATTTCAAGAGCCCCTGATCACTCAGGGTAATTTCTTTCTGCACATCGTATCACTCACCATAGATTATCTTAATGATCTTAATGAAGCAGGATATTAGTTCAGTGCTTTGTTAGGTAAAATGTTACTTGTTTTTCATCTCTATGCAGTAAACACACAGTAGATTATTTGTAATAGTCAAGGGTGAACAGACAGTAGAAAAGCAACAGAAGGAGTATGGAGATAAGGAATGAGAAGTAAGACCAAGAATGGTGTGGTGAAAATGGATAAAATAGAGGTAGGTGTTGTATTAGGAAATAAGTTACCTCTGTTTATTTTCTGCTTCGTCTAGAATATACTATAGTAGTGCTTCCTCAAAAGCAGAACTCAAGAAAACTGCATAGAAAATACATTATTTTCAAAAAATGTCCTTAATGTTGACAAAGTCAATATTAAGAGCTGCCAAAATTTAATTCATTCGTATAAACTTAATTCAATGCATTTAGGTGTAAACATATTGAATGATACTCTTATTACATGATTATGTGCTAGGTTTTCCAGTGGGTTGAGTGACGCATCCAATATCTAAAGTGGATAGGTTCAGAGGAACTTATTATTGGCTACATATGGGTGAATATATAGGACCAAAACATTTTTTATGAAGATACTTGAATGCTATGGAAGAAAGTAATATTCTATGCATAGTTCTACAATAGAGCTCTTGTATTCTATTGTGCAGATAAGTCCTCTAAATGAAAGTGACAAGGTACAGTATAGATTGAGAGCTGTAGCTGCTTTGTACTTGTGCTTATAAAGTGGAATGAATTGAAGAATGCAAACAATATCTTGTGTTTTTTTAAATGTATCTTACTACCAATTTACTCGGTAAGTAAGGATTAATAGCTTTGTATCAGAGGACTCTTCAGTTCTTAATAGTGTTAACACCAGTACAATATGTTTGTTATCAGGGGATTTTGTTAAATTTAGTAATTTGTGTAAGGCAGTTAGATATTGCTAAAGATCAAAGTCCGATAATATTAATAATTGTTTGATTTCTTTTGAATAATTTGGATTTGAAGACAAACACAGATTTTCATAGAAACAGAATGCCTGACGTGAGAAGGGACCTCCTGAAGACCATCTAGTCCAAGGCCCTGCTCAGAGCAGGGTCAGCCAGAGCATGTGTCTCGGAGACCAAGTCTAGCTGGGTTTGGAATATCTTCAAGGATGGAGACTCCATAGTCTCCTAGACAGCTTGTTCTGCTTTTTAGTCACCCTCTCAGTAAAAAAGGTTTTTCCTCTTCCTGTGTTCCAACTTGCCCGTTGCCTCTTGTCCTGTCACTGGGCACCATTGAGAAGATTCTGGCTCTATCTGTGCTCACCTCTATCAGGTATTTATACACATGGCTGGGATCCCTGGAGCATTCTCTACTCAAGGGTGAATTGCTGGCTTATCATCAGCTGGCTCATCCACCAGGACCCCCTGGGCCCTCTCTGCAGAGCTGCTTTCCAGCCAGTCAGCACCTAGCCTGCACTGGTGCCTGGTTATTCCTGCACAGGTGCAGGTTCATCATGGAATCATTGAATCTTTGCTTCATTCCTGAAGTGCCAGAGAGTAGTGAGGGCTGGCTGGTCCCTAAGGGACAGCAAGCCAGGAGCAAAGCACACAAACACAGCCACCACAGCACGGGCCTTGTCAGCCAGGCCTCACCCCACGCTACCCCAGCGAGGGAGTAGTCAGCCATGCTGAGCCAGGAGTCCAGGTCATCAGATATACAGAAACGGTTGTTGCACAACTTGAAGTCAGAAAAGTTGATTGCTCTCACGGTAACGTTAAACCTTTAGTTAATCCTAAGTAAAAAAATCATGAACATGCTTTAAGAAAAAGAAGTGACTTAAAAGATTTTTGTGCAGGATGAGTAATGTAATTTGTATTTTTAACAGTACAGCCTCAAATAATACAACTTAAAAATGAAACCACGTTTGAGAATGGGAAAGCCACCCTCATCTGTGAAGCAGAAGGAGAACCTATCCCAGAGATTACTTGGAAAAGGGCCATGGATGGAATAACTTTCTCTGAAGGTGACAAGGTAAATCAATGTTTAATGTCTAAAATATCTAGATATGTGTTGTCTGGCTAATCTTTTTGTAAGCAGAAAATTAACCTAGAGATAGATTAATTCTAGACTTTTCTGGATTTGGAAGGAATCGCTACTTTCCAAGGTAATAAGAGAGACACGGAGTTTCTAAATTTTAAATAATTTTTTAAAAGCAATTAAAATGCTGAAAGGTAATTCATCTTATCAGGCCTACTTTTTCATACATATTCCCTACTAGAGGTTTCAATTTTGTCGTGATCATAATGGCTGCCCATAGCCCTTCTTGACTATATTTGGACTCTGTCCAGTATTTCTCAAAATGCAGTGAAGCTTATAGAAATCTGAAATAAAAAATTCGGAATACTTCAGAGTTCTTTATTTCCCACTTTCGATGGTTTTTTTCCAGTTTTTCTCTTTTCTTGTATTTTTTCCTCACACAGATCAAGCAGTCTGTAACTACAAATTGAGCCTGTTTTCCCATTTTGTTTTCCCGTTTTCATGGTTTCTTACAGAAATAAATTGAGTAGAGAAATATTACAGTATGACAATGAAGGAAGTTAGTGTGGGAAGAAGAGCTGTAATTAGATGGAATGGTGAAAGCAAAAGGGAACAGTGTAATGTTATTCCTAACCATACATATTACAAGCTGCTTCTACAGAACTTTTTTTTTTTTTTTTTTGCTTTTTGTAAATAATTCTCTTTCAGTATTTGAACAAGTATTTTCTTCTTAATTTCCTTACATAAACTACAGAATTTCTCTGTGCTGGTTAAAGTATGAGATACCATCTCTATGGCTGGCTAATTCAGAAATTCAGAATTTTTACTCCGGATAATCAAATAGCAAAATATAGTCTTCTTGCAGGTGTTTGCATATCATAGCTTTTGCTTAAAGAAACGGTTGACAAACCTATACAGCAATCATGCCACTGCGGGAATTAGATACATGGTAAGTCACTCAGTTTATAGGGAACTGTTGTATGTTAAGGAATTATGTACTTCTGTTATTTGTCTTCTGAAGAAGAATGGTCTGGTCTGGTCTAGTCTCTGATTTGACCTTTCCTGGAATTGAGGCAGTTTATATGAGGCTCTGTCTACCATTTTCCTGATCTGTGGTTTCCATTTTGGGGCAACATAGCAGTATTTCTGTAATATTTTTTCTAATAGTTTTGCATTAAAACAAAGCAGTTTCTCTCCTTCTTAAATATTTCAATTCAAAGGTCACCTTTTCATCCCACAAAGACTACATTTGATTCAAAGGTTTTGCAGAGGCAGCCTTTCACTTATATTTGGAATGTTCCTAAAATATATTTCTTATATCAGAAATTGCAGATGACAGCAGATCACAGAAACAAGCTCAAAAATGTTGGTAAAGTTAAAACTTGAAATATATTTTTATGTAGGACAGCATTACATTGTTAATTCAAACTACATGTGGTTAAACTGTTCAGACGTGTTAACTGTAGCATTCTCTGAACTTTGGTTCGACTGAATAATACTGACAACCAAAATAAAACCTATATTCACTTTCTACTAGTGTGATGACATACTCTGTGGAAGTTAAAAGGAATGAGAATAAATGCAGTTATATGGTTTCCTTTTGTTCTTGCCAATGAAAGAACTCTATATGTATTGCTCATGGGAGAGTTTTTGCTGAATGTTGAATAAATGTTCTGAAATACTGTATATGTTCTTGAGCTATAAAATATGCTCCTGCGTTTGCACTGTGGTCCTCTAGCCCTAGGGTGCCAAAGCCTTGGCTTGTGCTTTCCTACCAAGTTAGGTGAATAGGGAACAAAACTGGCAGTGATTAAATTATTGAATAATTGTTGAATAATACAGCAATGTTTTGCACACAGAAAGAGAAGGAAAAGGTGGATTGAAGAAAATGGGGTGAGGGGGTTGTAAGATAGTCTGAAATTTACTTAAATGTGATAACTTTTGATGTCCAATCAAGAGACATACTTGCATAATTTTTACGTTTATCATCTACATTCACTGAATTCAACTGAATGAAACTTTAAATACCAATTTTAAAACATTTTATGGCACAGACTGCATTTTATCCAACATGTTTGTTGAATAAAGAATATCTTTATTTTTTTCTGTAGAAGATTGAAGAACTGCTCTAACTGCAATATTAACATGGTGATAATTAAAAAAACACAGACAGTGTTCTTATTTTTTAATTATACTTCTATTACTTTTAGTATGTAGCTCCTCAGTCATGTTGTTCTTGTTTTGCTAAAATGCAAGCATGTCTCATCTCATGTGGATAAGGAAGAATCAGAGAATCATAGAATACCAGGCTGGAAGCGACCACAAGGATCATCTGGTCTAATCTTTCTTGGCAAAATCATGGTCTCAACAAGGTGGTCCAGCACCCTGCCCAGCTGAATCTTAAGTGTCCGATGTTGGGGAATCCACCACTTCCTTGGGGAGATTATTCTAACGGCTTGTTCTCATTGTGAAAATTTTTCCTCTTGTGACCAATTGGAATCGCCCCAGAAGTAACTTGTACCCATTACCTCTCATCTCTTCCATGTGATTCCTCGTGAAAAATGAATCTCCATCTTCTTTATAGCCATTTTTTAAATACTGGAGAAAGCTGAATATGAGATCATTCTCAGCCTGCATAGATTCAAAATGTTTTCTTTCAAATGCTAGATAGATCTTATAACCAGGCCATAGACTTTTCTGAGTTTTGAAATTATTATGTCCAAAATAATGAATAATATGCTTGTCATAGATCAAAGAAATAACCCTGCTGGGCTTAAGGAGGATAATATTAATGAGTAAGAGGCCTATAATTATCTCTTAGGAAAATATAGCTTTGATAAAGGATTTTCAGTACCTTAGAAGTGTGTATTTGAAAGTTGAAGCCAAGTGAGTTCAAACCAAAAGCAAAGAAGCCTTTTCCTCCCTCCTTTTACCAGTTATCCTATGCAACAATCTACCACAGTGTGTGGTCCCTCTTTCATTGAGAATTTGAAATAAAGGCGGCTTTCTCCTTCCTCTGATGTCTCTTGGAAGTTTAAATGGAAAGTTTTCTGGGATGTCACATTAGATGACCTCTGTAATTCTTTTACGGCTTTATAAACAATAAATATATGAGTGGGTGAGCCTGAGTAAGTGAATGATTGTGCGTGACAGAAGGTGTTTGGCTCACCCTTAAAGATTTGAAAATGGAAATGAAGGTTTAGTCCAAGACCAGAGCTTCATCTGCTGTTGTGGTGTTAAGCCAAAACTCTCTGCTTGGTGCATGTACTCTGCCTCTCGCTTCCAGTCCTCAACTCCCCACCATTGCACATCCTTTCACTAACGTGCCAACCTGGCCATGGCCCTTTTGGCTCTGATTAGAAATGCTATGTTCCTACAGACCTCTGTGCATCCAGCAGGCCTGGCCCTTTTCCCAGCAAAAAGAGGAGGCAGGAGAAGAGTTGCTTTTTGTGGAACAGAAGGAAGGGTAGTGGTTAGATTGGATTTTCTGTAATCACTTATAAAATGGATTTTGGACATGCACATACATATCTACACACATCCCTGAAGGACGGCACATCCTGATTTTCTGATACAAAAATGTCATTCATTCCTGTGCATACTGCAGAAGTGCAAGGTCAGAGTTTCATGCTCTACTTTCCTAGTATCTAATTCTAGCAGAAATATGAAAGCTGACCAATGTTGTTTGTAATTACTATTCCAAGCCCTGTTTTGGAATACAAATGACAATAACAGATGGGGCTTGAGATGAGACAGTAGCTCTACTGTATGCAGCATGTGTCCAAAGAGACAATCTTTACCCTGAAGAATTTATGATCTAAACATGTAAAATGAATGAAAGAAGTCAGTGCAGCAAGGTTATAGTCCAGTATCTGATACTCAGTTTTGATAACGCATGTGTGGTTAAAAACAAAACAAAACAAAACAAAAAAAAAAACAAACAAAAAAAAGAAATAAATCAAATTTGCAACTTGGGTATTGGATTTAAGATATATGAAATTATACTGTATTTTATATATATTTGATACAGATTCGCCAGATGTCTTTGAAATATCTTACACTATTCTTGTGTCCACAAGTAAAAAATTATCTTATTTTTAATTGTATAATGAAGACTAAAGAGGTTGCTTGAGTTCTACTTCTTTCCATCTACCTACCATTGCAGTAATAATCTGGGTGTCCCTGTGAAATTTCCTGTGACGTTGTTTCCAAATATTGCAGAGCTCAGCTGAATAATAAATTATTTTCCAATTTTGAATTCACTTTATATTGACATGCAAATTAGAACTATTTGGAACTTGGTAGAATTTTTCATAGTTTTCATGATCAGGCAATAGGCAAACGTAAAGAACTTGGGGTTTGTTTTGTCTTTCTTTGAAAGGTCAACTCTGCTTTTTCCCCAAGCCTATTAACTCCACTTCAGCTATTACAAATGTTAATAAAAAGAATCTGAAAATTTTTTTGCTCCCTGTATATGCTATTGTCACTGCACAAAAAGAAGCAGTGTTACAGTGTCAGTGAATTGTGTTGCCTTTCTTTTGAGACAGTAATGAGAGCTCTGTTACATTCTTAGTCATCAAGGATCAGGTCTTTGAAACTATTCGCCCAAAAAGAGGAAACATACATGTGTCTGGGGATTTTAATTGACTCCAGAAATTTCTTTCTTTTTCTGAGCTATACAAATCCCAGTCTTTGTAAATTAATCTCAGGAAATTTTCTCCTTTGAATAGTGGGAAAAATATAAGGGGCAAGTCTCCTTGCCTTATTGAGGAAAATTGTTAAAACCTGTTTAACCTACATGTTGTGTGAACAGTTTCTACTTACAATAGTATAGAATATTTTTGCTGTTGTAATATTAGCACAGGCCTGCAGGCTTAGAACAGTTTATGTAGCCAGCTGCAATTGCATTTGATTATCTAGTTGAGACACTGCGAACAATTCAATCAGGCATCAAAGATTTTTAAATTTATTTTGGTTTTAACCCCAGAATGAAT